AGGAGAAAACATCGCAAAGAGAAAACATCGCAGTTCTAAAACCTCGTGCTACAAATATCGTCGTCGAAAAAAGCGGTTAAAAAATTTCGCAGTTTAAAAACATCGTCGCGAAAATATCGCGGTAAAAAAAAAGTATCGACAAATCATCGCATGACGATAACATCGCACATGCTTTTTAGGCTTTAATAATTGTAAAGGATATTTCCCTAATGATTGTGAGCGCAAGATGGAAAGAAGGATAATCTTTACTTTCATATTTTTTATTAACTAATAATTTTTGCTGAAAAGTAAGAAGGAAATTTAAACATAGAAAATTAAGGCAACTTATAGCACTTAATTTTAAACTGACATAGTTAATACCAAAGGTCATTAATAATCATTTTTATAGAGTTTTACTGGTAATTTTTCATTAAAAGTATAATCTAAAAATGTTTAGAAAAAGGAAGCTACGTAACTGCATGACCTATCTATAAAAAATTGCTAATTATGAGATTATTTTCTTCACATTTGTCAATCTAATACTCTTATAATGAAAATTATTTCTTGTTCTGCTTCAGTTGATTCTTAAGTTTCCTTCTTACATTTTCAGCAAAAATTTATTAGTTAATAAAAAATATGAAAGTGAAAATTATCTTTCTTTCCATTTCGCGCTCACAAATCATTATGGGAATATCCATTTACAATTATTAAAGCCTGAAAAAAGCATATCTGCGATGTTATCGTCCTGCGATGATTTGTCGATACTTTTTTTTTTTTTTTTTTTTTTTTACCGCGATATTTTCGACGACGATGTTTTTAAACTGCGAAGTTTTTGAACCGCTTTATTTTCGACGACGATATTTTGTAGCACGATGTTTTTTCTTTGCGATGTTTTCTCCCACGATGTTTTGTAGCACGACGTTTTCGCCTTGCGTTATTTTCTCCGCGGCGTTTTCGTCCGCGATGATTTTGCCGCGATGTTATCGGTGGACACCGGATAGACACAAACTATATAGAGCACAAACTGCAAAAATGTGTGGTGTAATATGTTAAAGAAAAAGATGCGATTATGTATTCTTTACGTTACTGTTTATTAAAAATTCATTAATATGCATATATAAATATAGATAAAGCATATTTTAATATGAAACCTGATACGGCATGTCGCTGCGAGTTTATCGCACTGTGGTAAATAAGATGACAGGGCTAACTTCACGCAGTCATCTTCACGCATAACTTCGAAAATGTTTTCTGTGTTCATTCGCGTGTGTTTCACACAGGCTGCAATACAACAATGGAATATTGAGAGCAATATTGCCGTGCAACATCTAGTGTAAATATCGTGTCGGCTTCGTCTTTTAGAGTCGAAACATTCACAAAAGGCATGCAGATAAAAAGCGAACTTCCAAGACCGAGCCAACCTACTGTAAACGTTACTTCAAATAGAAGCAACCCAGTTCTTGTTGGAAAAACCACAGCAAATGAGCTGATCGCACTCCTGAAATAGCTGGCTGAAATGATGAAACGGTTGGAAATTGATATCTGAAATAGCTGGCTGAAACGAAAAAAAACCACAGCAAATGAGCTGATTGCACTCCTGAAATAGCTGGCTGAAACGATGAAACAGTTGGAAAATGATTTCTACATGGAATTCAAAATTAACAAGTTTTTCAGTAAACTCATACAGTTTACTACGAAATGCAAAAAGATCAAGGACTCCGGAGAAAAAGCTCCAGCTTGCCATCAGTATGGTGGGCTTGACTAAAGGTATAGAATCATAATCCTCTGTATCTCTTGAGAGGTTAAATATATTGTGAAGACTTTAGAGCATGGTAAATAGGGCCGTCCAGCTATGATATATTTCCCTATTTATGGCAAGAGTTGACTATTCGCGTGTCTGTGATGTACACTGAAGTGACAAAAGTCATGGGATACCTCCTAATATTTTGTCGGTTCTCCTTTTGCCCGACGAAGTGCAGCAACTGGACGTGGCATGGGCTCAACAAGTCGTTGGAAGTCGCCTGCAGGAATATTGAGCAATGCTGCCTCTATAGACGTCCATAATTGTGAAAGTTTTGACGGTGCAGGGTTTTGGGCACGAACTGACCTCTCGATGATGTCCCATAAATGTACGATGGGATTCATGTCGGGCGATCTAGTGGCCAGATCATTCGCTGGATTGTCCAGAATGTTCTTCTAACCAATCGCGAACAATTGTGGCCCGGTGAACATGCCGCAGTCTCCATAAAAATCCATCGTTTTTTGAGTACGAAGTCCATAATGGCTGTAAGTGATCTCCATATAGCTGAAGGTATCCATTTCCAGTCAATGATCGGTTCAGTTGCACCAGAGGACCGAGTCCATGTCATGTAAAACAGCCCAGCCCATTATGTAATCACCACCAGCTTGACAGTGCCTGTTGACACTTGGTCCATGCTTCGTGGGCTGCGCCACACTCGAACCCTACCATCAGCTCTTACTACCAACTGAATCGTGACTCCGATATGCTCACGAAACGAATCACTCCAGCGGAGTGGCTGCAGGCGATGTCCTGTCAGTAAAGGCACTCGATCGTCTTCTGCTGGCATGCCCAAGGAAGACAAATTTCGCCGCACTGTCCTATCGAACAACGTCCCTCGTACTCCCACATTGATTTCTGCGGTTATTTGACGCAGTGTTGCTTGTCTGTGAACATTGACAACTCTACGCGACGTCGCTGGTCTCTCGCCGTTAAGTGCAGGTGTCGGCCCTGCGCTGTCCATGGTGGATGTTAAGCCTGAATTAGATACTCTCGGCAAACTCTTGACACTGTGGATCTCGGAATGTTGAATTCCCTAACGATATCCGAAATGACCCATGCGTCTAGTTCCAACTACCATTCCGCGTTCAAAGTCTGTTAATTCTCGTCGTGCGGCCATAATCACGTCAAAGCCTCTTCACATGAATAACTAATACAATGAAAGCCCTGCCAAAGCACTTCGCATTTATACATTTTCTACGCGATACTACTGCTGTATATTTGCATATTGCTATCCCATGACTTTTGTCACTTCAGTGTAAATGGACTCTTCCTTTTATTCAAAGTTGCCTCACTTTCTTGGGTATCACACCCTATGACCTGCTTACTTGATGCGTCTTTTTGAAATTACTAAAAAGAGCTGGACATATGGTACTCTGTGCGATCCTCTCGGCCATAGTGTTATTGATGGCCGGACGTTCCTTTGAGTGTGTGGCATAACTGGAATTGTCTTTTCCTTTTCATTCTTGGCATTTGATTTTCACAAGATTGAGAAAGGACCAGACGTGCAATGCGAATCACATCAAAAGGTCTTGCCAGCCACCGAGGTATAGGCTGGGCATCCCTGACGTAGACAAATTTAGTCGCTCTCTCTTCTGTGATGTGAAGTGAAGCGCACATTAATTACTACCCCTTCATGAAGCCTTGTGCATTCTATAAAAGTTATAAGATAGACTAGCAGTCACGTACGAACAACATCCTATTGAAATTTGAAATTAATCTCATATATCATATAAGGCTCTTTAGGTCTTCTGAGTCTGAATTTTTGCGATGAATAATTCATGCGGGTAAAAAATGGATGGAATTCGATTTTCTCGTAATGTTGAAATCAGTTGGCAAAGGAACAGGTGGATGTAAACATCGTGATTATTTGGCGATAAACAAGGTTTGTACAGTTGATTTAAGCGACTTTACTCATATTCGTTTCAGATTCTAAAATTCAGAAGCATTTTGGTTTTGGAATAAACGCACAATGGCAAACAGTGAAAACCGTTTTTCTTTTTCATAAAAAAAAAAAAAAAAAGCGATTTTTCAAGTAGTCCTTTTTTCACCTTTTTCGTTGAGCACTTAAGAGTAAGACAGATTGCCTCTTTTGCTGTGAAAGTATAGCTGTAATAGAAACATAATAGACATGCTGTAATAGAAGAATATAACACAAAGAGGCTTTATGATACTAAGTACATTGGGAAATATTCTGCATTGAAAGACATTTTTGAAGCGATAAAAACAGTAAATTCAAATCAAGGTAAATTATCAGCGGTCTTTTTCCTTCACAGCGAATAAATAATCCGAAAATAATGTTCGTATTAACTATATGATAGCAGAAAAACTGCTGAACGTGGAAAACCTTTGATGAAAGGTGTATAAAAGAATGACTTCAGTGTTCAGATGATGCGTTTTGATGTTGATTAGTCATTACAAGCTCAAGCTATTTCCAACATTAACTTGTCTGGTGTAACAGTAGCGAGATACGTGGAGGATCTACCAGTAGATATATTCACTTAAAGTAAAGATAAGTTAAGATTTATTTAAAACGTTGAGCGCGGCGCCGAATTTGCTGTCCTTTCCGTTCAGCCAGCAGCGAGCTAAGGCATATTTTGGTTTAGAATGCTTCAATACATTTCATTAAAACTAAATTTGATCACATTTCATTTGAGACTATATTTATTTTTCAACTTTAATACTGTCGGTCCCGCGGACCGACGCCAGCCAAACGAAAATTCCAATGTCGATCCCCAAGGACCGACGCTGGCCACACGGAAAGTTCACTGCCGATCCCCAGGGACCGGCGCCGCGCTCAACGTGTTAAGATAAGTTAAAATACAGATGCAAGGACTTTGTGTTTTATTCTGTAGCAATGGATGAATAAGAAGATACTGCACATTTTTAATCGCGGCATTGATAGATTTCACGATAGTAGATAAATTAGCAGTGTTGTTGAACTTAAATATGTGATGACTGTTGTTGTAAAAGCGGTTAATTTCATCCGGTTCACATACAATTTCAGCAGTTTTTGGGTGGCCCATTTTCAGATTTTATTTATCATATATCAAATCTAGGGAAGCTTTACATTTATAAATGAGCGTATCAAATATTATTAGGATCGATTCCTACTATTATATAATGATATTTACGTTGAAAATGGAACAATGAGGTCATTTTCTATTTAATGCTTACTGATATGGTAATTACATTTTTAAACTTGTGATTTCTTTTGTTTTAGAATGGATTCAGTTGAAGTTTGAAGGAACACCTATAAATACCTAATCTGTTAATTATTCGAATAAAGGAACATTTAATATTATGGCAATTCCAGTGATTCCCGTACTGCATTCACCATCGAAGGAGGAAGTAGATCTGGAAGGTCAATTATTACTCAAAGGTTTTGTTAGTGATCGATTGGCGGAAGCAGGAGTAGGAGATCCGAATGTTTTCTCAATTTCAGAAGTAAATGTCTCAGATATACAGTCAGCTTCTCAACCGGAAGCGATTCCTTTGACAAGGTATTAATATTTCCTAATTTAAATAAAATTTGATTGTGTATTTATGTGTTTTTTAAACATTGTTACGAAATGCTGAGTTGTGGTAAGATAGCTTCCCCGCAAAGTGAGTTTAGGGTTGCCAGATTTGGCACGAAATAGCCATTTGCCGACAAAATTGGCCATATGCCATAGACGAAGTGAGAACATTCTAGAATGAATTCCTACTGGTTTACACCGGAATATTCCCGAAGACAGGCCAAAAGCTATATAAACCCTGCCTCTACGCGGAGTAGCAGTGCATCGTCGAGTGTATCGAGTTTATCTGTGGTGAGTATCTTGAGAACGTTGAATCCAGTGGTAGTGTTTTGAACTCCGAAAGCGACCGAACCGAGTCGGGAGCTGTACTTTAGTGCTTTGCCGTGAATTGCTTCATCGTTATAGCCTGAAGGCTATGTTGCTGATTGTTTCAGCGTGTTTGTCGTTGTTTTTCGACGACTGCAACGCGTCTTTGGAAATGTGTTGTGTAATATTGGCTAATGAATTGAGTTTTGATTCTTCATCAAATGTTGTCAATCATTCCAAATCCACGAACTCGTAGAACGCAACAATATGCATGATACCGAAAAGTTGTTGCTGATAAACATACATTGTGTTTTCTGACATTTTCTAACATATTTTCTGTCTGTTTATATCTTATTTTCTGTTTGGAACAAAATATGTATACTGCAAGAAAAAAATGAGACAGTTCTATATCTCCCGTTCTACTGGGCCGATTGACGAAATTCAAATTGCGTTTTTCATGTCTCGAAAGTGCGGCTTAGGATATGTATTAGATTTATATATAGCATTGTTCAAATATAGGTATTTTTCTGAAATGACATGCCAATTCTTTTTCCCTATTTCGATCGCTCGAAGTGAATTTCGAAGAGAGTTCAAGATTCATCGTAATAATGCTGTTCGATCAGCCTGTGCCATCAACAACTGGGTATGAAACTTTGAGGCCGCTGGTTCGACCTAAGAGAGATCGTAGTGAAATAACAGTGCGTACCCTGAGAAATTAGCATCATTCTCTGGACTCTAGGTTTTCAGACCGCAGCGTTCGACTGATCTTCCATAAGGACCTTCAGTTCCACGTCTACAAGATTCATATTGTCCAAGCACTACGGGAACAGGACTATGGAAACAGGTTTCAGTTTTGCCAGACACTTCACATAAAGATATTAGGTTCCACACCTACAATATTCATATTGTCTAAGCACTACAGAAACAAGACTATGGAAACAGGATTTAGTTTTGCCAGGCATTTCACATAAAGATCTCCAGCTCCACGCCTACAAGATTCAAATTTTCCAAGGACTACGAGTGCAGGACTGCGGAAACAGGCTTGAGTTTTGCCAGATACTTCTGCAATTGATTTATGGAAACCATAATCTTGTTAACCTGGGATGGGCAAACATATTCGGTCGCGGGCCAAAAGTCGAGAAAAAAAAAAGTTTGGCGGGCCAAGATAAATTTTTCTAAAATTTTAAAAACAATGTACAAATATTACAAAACTATGTTAATGAGCTAAATGAAATTGTGATTTCATTTTTAGTTCCTTATACTGAGGTTCGAAGTGAGATGTACTGATTCAAAGAAACGAGGCTAAATGCTCATCTGCCAGTCTACTTCTGAAATAATTCAAAGTTTCATAGTTGAATACGCTTGTTCACATATATAGAATGAAGCAAGCATAGCACTGATTTTCTGGGCGTGAGATATTAAATTTGGGAAACTTACTTTCGATAATGATTCGTAAAACTCTAACTTTGGCATATTCAGAAACAACTGTTTGAGATTATTGTTAGTTAGATTGCAACTCAATTAATTCAAGCTGCAAATCTGATGTCACTGCTTCACATTACCTGAAAGGCATGGTAAAAAACAATTCTGTTTGAATGGCACTGAAATTTGTGAAATCTCGTTCGAACTCCAAATGCGTTTTTTTTTTTTTTAAGCCATCTTCATTCTTAAAAGCTTCTCTTCATTTACTGAGGTATGAATTTAACCTCGGGAAATGAAACTAGCTAGCTGGCCAAACAGATTAAATTTATTAAACTTTAAGTTTAGATATAAGTTTTTTTTATATGGCTAATCACCTATAATTGGATTTCCCATAGGTCTGCTCCCCGAGAAAGAGAAAACGCTTGTTGGCCAATCTACGCTATAACTAACAAAGAACCTTTGCTGTTAACACTTTACAGATTGAAATGTCTGCGCTTGCTATTTGTCCATTTATGTTGTAGAACAAAAACAGAAAGTAAAAAAGCATCAGTCCTTGAAAAAGAGAAAAAGAAAAAAAAAAGGAAAAATTATTAAAAAAAAGTAGAAAGGAGATCATATTAAATATAAATCTATATTTTCTTTTAATTTGTTTCGGATCGGCAAATTAAAATTCGATCCGAGGGCTGGATAGAACTTTCCGGCGCGGGCCATAGTTTGCCCATCTTTGGTCTACGATATTTAGAAATAATTCCCTGTGAAGGACGTCATATTTACTTTGTTTCCTGGAAAGAAATAAAGAACATTACTTTATGTGGGTGTAAATTGTGGTCTATGATCATGTACACCTTGCACAAAAAAAAAAAAAAAAAAAAAAAAAAGGAAAAGGAAAAGGGGGCTAGTTCTATATCTCCCTACGAGTTCTTTGCCTCTCTACTGGGTCGATTGACAAAATTTAACTTGCGTTTTTCCTGTCTCGAAATAGCGACTTAGGATACATATTATATTTCTGTATAGCATTGTTCTAACATAGGTACTCTAGCCCAAAATCGGATGAGTTTTTAAATTATAACCAATAATATTTGTTATAAGCGATAACTCCAACTGTGGTTTACATCAACATTTCAAGGAAATTGAGCTTTAGAGTGTGTTATTGTTTTGCGATATTTTGACATTTTAAGGTACGTAAAGGTATTTATCATTCTTTACACACAACTTTAACATTTTGCTAAAATTTATATTTTTGCAGTCCTGTGGGTTAGAATTTTATAAAACAAATTCATAATCAAAATTGCTGTTGCAAGTTATCGAAAGATAACCAAGATGTGATTTGTGCGGAAACGGACCTAAACTATACAAATTGCTATTATCCAACAGTGAATTTTCCTTTTATGCCAAAGTGTCCCTGTTTGTCGATTTGTGCGGAAAGCCCTATGTAGAAGTACTATCATACTGCTGTCAATGTAACATGCTCTGGATGTAAACAAAAGTATCCCACCCCATCGGCTACCAAAGCTCGGCGGCAGTGCGTCAGCTGTAGTGCGAGGATAGTGTGGTAACTAGCGGCAGGTCGCGCTGATGACTCCATGTAATAATTATTGCATTTGTTGAGGTTGCATATGACTTACCACATGTTTTTAAACATAAAACATATTTATTACAATTATGAGAAGCCCTATTACAACATATGATAACATGGGAAACGTAGAACAATAAATGTGGTTAACATTACTGTCCTCGTTATATAAGGATCTTGCTAACGGCGGGTTTTGCTAGTCAAGAATTCCAGAGCATTCTGGCGTATTGTTCCGATGGAAACAATCTGCAGACTGAATTAGCCACGTCTCCTTAATTTTTCAGTTTTATTTTACATCCTCTGATTCGTTATATCTGGAGCAATGTCAGAGGGAAAACAAGATCATTGGTTCGTCAGACCTCCTGAAATAGAGAGGCTGTGACGGCAGACACAGTGCAGAATGTTAAAATCTCTTGACACTTGTCGTGAAGTTATGTCTCTTGTATTGTCAACTGGAACGAATTATTGCGTCTGCGATGTCAGACCATGTCGTGTGACACTTCACAAAAGCTTGAAAACAGTAACTTGCGGAAACCGCACAGATGATTTTCTCGTCTCTGCGCAGTCCGCCACAATAGCATCTCCTTTTATTCCTACCTCCATAGTTCGGAGTGGTTGGCCTGGGGGGGATTATCTGCACCATCGTTTATACAGTGGTCGGATCAGGCGCAGCTGGGACCCTGTTGATACTGTCAAGTCCGACCCAACTGTGTGTTATACATCTTTTTACACTGGTTATCATAAATTAAGGGAAAATCACAAAAATAGCGATAACTTCTTCAAATATAAGCCAAACAGTGTAAAATTTTAATATATTGTCAAGTAAGAGTAGCTGAGTAAAACTGCGATATGCAAATCAGTGGCGCTGCTTTCAGAATACTTCATCTGTGAGGAGCATAAAAGTCCATGCTTGAGAGCAAGCCCACATATTTCACATTGACAGTGACATCAGAAATCTGAGATAGCCAATTCGTAACAATGACCTCCAGGCATCGTTTGCCTGCAGAACTACGAAGGAGAGCCATTGGGAGACTAGAGGCAGGATAAAGTCAAACAGAAGTGGCCAGATAGCTAAGTGTGAGTCCTTCTGTCGTTCAAAGAGTTTGGAGGCAACTTCAAACCACAGATTCCGCATCTAGGAGGTACAGGCAAGGAGGCACTGCTACGACGAGCGCCGATGACCGATATTGACATTATGTGCACGAAAGAATGGAACCGCTACTACCGACTCCGACTCTTCTTAGCCTTTGCTGCCACCGGAAGGTTCGTGTCAACGTCAACTGTGCGTAGAACTTCCGAGGTGGAACGAGGCGGCCAGCCTTTGTATGGCCGCTCACGTCACGCCATAGAGAAAGACCGTTTCAGTGGGCACGACAATGAAAGGACGTCTGTCAATGGGGGGCAAGCTCTTAGGAAAGGGAAAGGTTTGATAGGAGAGATCTCTGAAGATAGTTTATCACTCATCGTCAAGCATATCCGTTGAAAGAGATGCATACAGAAGAGGAAGTGCTGTGTTTGGTGGCATCCTTTGGGTGGACGCTAGACCTCCATGTCTTCCAAGGGGGAACCGTGAATGCTCATATTTATAGAGATGACATCCTTAATGCTTATGTGCGCCCATATGCCGGGGCAGACGACAACGCAAGACCACACAGGGCCTCGCATCGTAGATCATTATCTTCAACGGAAACAATTATGCGCTTGAGTGGCCAGCTCAATCCCCTGACTTGAATCCTATCGGCACGTTTGGGACGCTTTAAGAGACGTCTAGCTGCTTCAATCCGCCCCCTCAGACCCTTGGGCGCTTGCAACTGCTTTGCAAAGCAATGCACACGCTTCCTATGGTAACTGATGAGATCGCATAATTGAAAGCATCACGCATCGCGTAAGTTCTGTATTGCTTCTAGAGGCACAATATTCCATATTGAAGGTACTTTTCCTATAGCAAACGAACCTTCGATGTGTTCAATTTATAAATGTCTAATTTTATACAGCATTTTGTCTGGTAATTTCTGTTTATGGTATTTGATACCGACTATGTGTTGTATATTGTGGGCAAGTTTCATTAAATTCTACATGCAACTTTTTCAGTAATCGTGACTTTTGTGATTTTTCCTTAATTTATGATAACCAATGTAGATATTTTCAGTGTTCAGATATTGTATTCTGTACGTGTGCCTTCGTTGTTACTCGGCTAGTTTTCTATCACTAGCGATCAGTTCACTTCTAGAATGAAGATGGAAGGCAAATTTATAGTTTACGGAATAGGAAACGCTTTTCATCTATCTCCGAATGCATATCTGCATACTGTTAATTAATGAATTCATTCATCATGATTGCAACGATTAGGGATGGGAGTTGAGAAGAACTTCAATATTCTATTTAATGTTAAAAGTAAAATTTGAGTGCAGTTAATTTCGCTTTCAGGTCCACGTCATTTTTATTTCAAGCTAATCATTTTAATTTGACAAATTATTATTCAGGCTCATTCCATCTGGTTATTATGATTCAAGTCTCAGCTCAAAAGGAGCAAAGCTAAAGGAGTGGGCAGAAGAATTCGGAAAGAGTCCACAGAGAGTGAAAGTTAATCAAGAAGCTAACGAGGTAAATGGAGAACATTCTGTTAAACATATATGATATGTCTGCTTACAGTTAATTGTATATTATATTGTTTATTGTTAATTTTATGTTAATTGTATCAATAAAAGGCACATACAAATCTGTCGCATATTGACACAATTCTTTCAATTTCATATTCAGAATTTCTGTCTGCACCTAAAATTATTTTGTTTTAATGCGCAGTGCTATGAAAATGTGATAAATAATTGTCAAGGTATATGTTTAGTTGATAGTATAATATCAATACGTATTTAAACGGTATATGAAAAATACACAGGATGTTTCAAAATCGTATTTCAAAATAATAAAAAAATTGTTAAATATCACTTGAATTGATTGTAGATTAGGATTCAAATTTCAGAAATGTATCAAATACGCTCTGAGCTTTCAAATTATGATAATTTTGGTCATATGAAGAACACTGTTTTATACGGAAAGTTCCAGTTAGTACACTGTTTCTGTATATTACCGAAGGCTTTTTTTTTAATTTAATCGGTTCTGTTAAATAAAAAAATATTCCTGAAAACATGGCCGAAATGCTTTGACTTAAACTACTTTTGCCAAATTTAAAACGTGAATTTTAAGAATTCTGAAACATATAAAACGTTCAGAAACAGCCGTGCTTAGATGTTGTTACGAAATACCCAGCTGCGGTAAAATAGCTTCCTGCAATGTGGGATTAGGGTTGCCAGAAAGTAGCAGGGAAAAGCAGGGTTGCCAGATTTGGCACGAAAGGCCCATTCGGCAACAGTTAGCGACAAAATTGGCGATATGCCATAGATGGAGTGAGAACGTTCTAGAACGAATTCGTATTGGTTTTCCCGAGAATATTCTTGAAGCCAGTTCAAAAGCTATATAAACCTCGCATGTATGCATAGTAGAATAGTACCTAGAATATGTTGAGCTCAGAAATTAGCTTGAGAGCAACCGAACCGAGTCGGGAGCTGTACTTTAGTGCTTGGCCGTGAAGCTGTCGTCACCGTTGTTGCCTGAAGGCTGTGTTGCTGATTGTTTGAACGTGTTTATCGTAGTTTTTCGACGACTGTAAAAGTGTCTTTGGAACTCTCCTGTGTAATACTGGGAAATAAATTGTGTTTTGATTCTTCATCAAGTGTTGTCGTCAATCACTTCAAATCCAGGAGCCCATAGAATGCAACAATATTTTTTCGTTTGAGACAAAGAAGTAAATGCGCGATTTAGCTAATACGATAAAATTAGCTAAATCTATACACATCTATATTCCATTACAGTAACTACATAAAATCTTATTATAACTCTTATAGTATTTATAATAACTTTTTGTATTCAGAAAATTAATGCATGTCATATTTTAGATATTTTAAATGAAACATTAAAAATTACTTTTTCATAAATAGCAAATAATATTTAAATAATGTAAATAGCACTAAAATTATTATAAAAAGTATTACATTAATAATCAAACTCTTTTTGCAATTTAATTTTCTTGCTTTGAATAAAATAAATCGACAATAATTATTTTCAAAATCTACTTCATTATTTAATATATGTTCTGCATAGAGATATTTAAACTTTTTTTTTGGGGGGAAGAGCATGGTTTAATTATTTATTTGCAGAAATTTATATTATTTGATAAAATATTTATTTGCAGTTTCCAGAAATTTCTTTTACTCTAAGATTAATAAATGTCAAAGTTAAAAATATTCTCAATGCAATTTCCTTACTTCAGGTAGATTCAACTAGACTTCATTCCTGAATTATCTTTAAAGGATCTGATTTTGCTTTAGTTACCAGGTTTATTGAAAGAGCATTGTTTTAAAACTAGCTATTTCTGATGGAATGTCAGAAGCATTTTCATCATTTGGTTAATACTAAGCTGCTGATTTTCAAAATGCTCAAATCCAATGCTAGAATATTTCATCAGTTAGAAACTGGAAACCGAAAGTTATCTCGTTTATTTTTTGTAGAGTCATTTGGTAGCTTTGAAGCAGGGGACACGAAAAATGTGCAAATGGGAAGAATCATCATCCACCATCTTTTAGTTTGGGTGCCACTATACAGTCATTACGATTTTTGAAGAAGGAAACACGAAAAGTGAGCAATGCCCTAGCCGGGACTCGAACCTGGAACTCTCGAATACGCGTCGAATGCACTAACCGTTACACCTCGAAGGCATGCGGAAAGGAGGGGAAAATTAACTTATATTTTGATATCTCTATTTTAGTTGTGGAATTAAAATATATATTTTTTTTTTTTTTTTTTTTTTTTAACCATGAAAAATTCTGACATTTTCTGACAAAATTACTACTTCTTTTATCAATTGATTATTGATAATGAGATTTATAAACATTTCGTTTTAACTTCTTTCCATAATCTGCTATTATATTTGTATATTCGAAGTTGAATTTTCACATTTCACAAGAAAATCTTCTCTTTTTTTCGTAAAGGAAGATATATTCCGTCTATTATAACAAACATGTACAGTCAAAAGTCGTTAATTCGGACACCCATAATTCGGAATGATCTATAATCCGGACATCAAAACTAAAAACTTTCTGCGCATGCACCGCGTTAACACATGCGCATAAGGCGTTTACGCGTGCGCGTAAGACCTTTTACGACTGCGCGCGCATATGAGTGTGCGCAAGTGCAGAATACATTTTTGCGTGCGCATTTTATGTATAATGGACGTATAAGCTAAATAATTATCTATTTCAGTTAATGTTGATGATTGCGTTGTTCCTTAATTTTCGAATTGCATCCGGCTTATTATTTTTTTGCAGACTGTAAGAGCAATTTTATAAAAGTAAGCTTAAACTTTCGATTATATCAAATAGAATTTCCGATATATATTTGTTAATATGTAAAGGATCTAAAGCGAAAGTATGTTTTGAATCTGAAATCTGTTTATCATTTTCATCACGCTGGCTCGGCGGCGGGGGCGCGTAATGAATTGGAAGTTGATTTGTCAGCACTATCCTTATCTTCAGCGCAGATGTTTTATTTATTTGGCTTATAATTCCTTACCAAATGTAGTATTTCATCTCGATATGCTCCGTCTTTGGATATGATTTAAAACAAGTTCCTCGTCATTATAATTCGCTTCCGATAGCGAAGAAAAGTGACAGAGGTTATTGAAAACAAAAAATTTCGATTGACAAATTAGTCGGTGTTCTTGACACAGCAATTATAGGACTTGAACGGCGGAACTTTGTAACTGAACAAGAAATTATGTCTGTTTAATAGAATTAAAGAGAAATATTATCACATGAAACGAAGCAAAACTTAAACAACTTACATTGAAAGAAATGTTTAATAAAGTAAACAAATAAATATTAAGCTTTTTCTTTTTGCAAATTTTGATACCCTTTAGATCATAATTGTTCATTATTTCATAAATTACGGTTTCATATTTTTAATTTTGGAATTTCTGCATGCCATCTTACGAGATTTAAACTGATGATCTATAATCCGGAAAAATCGATAATCCGGAATCGCCGAAGTCCCGACGAGTCCGGATTAACGACTTTTGACTGTATATACGTAAAAAGCAAATTTAAAGTTAAAATAATTAAAAAAAATAAAAAATGTGCAAACATATAAAAGATTTAATTTTCGAACTAATATATATATTTTTTGGCTCTTTATGGTATGATAACATTACCTTAAACCTTAGCTGGAGGGTAATGGAGGTAAAGGAATAAAAGTAATGGAGGGTAATGGAGGTAAAGAATAAAGAGTAAAGGAATTATCGTGTAAATTTTTACTGTAAATAAATTTGTAAATATGTATATTTAATCAATACTGGATTCTTTCCCTTTACTAATAAAGGGCCAACTCTTTTCAAAAGTCTCAATTATAGCCCGAATTGAGTGAAGATTTTAATCTTCTTCTAATTTTCCATACTTTAGCCAGCATTTAGTAAAGTTTTGATATACCAGTTGGAATCAAGTTTATTAAAACTTTCAATATTTTCTTTCTTTAATTTAGCTTTTAATAAATATTTTTAAGGAATTCAATTTAATAAATAAAAATTTTTAGGAATTCATTTCAAAATTTAAATTTTTACTTTAAAAAATTTGGGGATTTTTTTTTAAAAACATTTTAAGACTTTTTTAATTAAATTTTCTTTAAAGCATTTTAAAATTTTAAACATTTCAGTTTTACTTAATTACTTTTTAATTTACATTTTTCACTAAAAATTTTTTTCACTTAGCATAATTTACACAATTTTGCAACACACATTTAACATTACAAACAGTTTACATTTATTAATTCACAATAACCACTTGACTCTACTTTACTTCATTAGAAAGATCTTTGCAGAGCAAACTTACATCTCTTGATTGGCTCAGCTACCATACATATTTGGTCAGTTAAAATTAAAACTTGAATTACATACTTTTAGGATATTCTTTGATTTTTCTAGATTTATATTATTTAAATATTTTAATATTAAAGTTTACAAATTTTAAATAAAAACAAGATAGCAGCTTGGCACTCAACTTTACTTACACAGCGTCATCTATATAATTTGCAGAACACACTTACATCACTAAGAAATACTTTTACAGACCCCAACGCTAATATGGTAGGTAAGTTAGAATTAACTTACTATTTACTTGCTTTAGTATTTTTTAAGTATTTTTATGTAGTAATTTAAGTATTTTCTAGATATGTAATTATATATTTTTTAAGAATTTATTTGTTTTTTATAAATTATGAATTATTCTTTTAGTTTCTTTTTGGTTTATATAAATATGTCTACTTCCTTTTTAGTTTCTTTTTGATTGATGTGCATATTTGTGTCGGGGAGGTTTCTGTAGAGAAAGGTTTCTAATATGCATTTGTTTCTAAATTAATTTTTATGAAAAATTTAATTTAAAAGAATGTTTCTAATTAATTTAATACCAGACTTTACATTGCTTAATTCTCAAAATACTTCATTATTGGTATTTTCCTTTTAGACCTTTATTTTTAATTGCTATTTTCTCAAGGTACCACTT